GCTCCCTACAATTTGCTTCTGGTGAATATGTTGTCGACACTGCAGACTCTTGAGGATGAGGATGTCTGTTGAAAACCGATTATCAATCTAATGATTCAAAAGCTTAAAGTAGGGGTAAAGTGAGAGATATTTCAACCCTCTGAAATGCCAATGTGCCCTCATTCCCTTGGCTTAAAATGTACTGTAAATGAGATGGTTCTCAGAACAACCTGAGAAGCTAGTTAAAAAGTGGATTCCAGAGGCGCCTGGCTGGCTCAGTCAGTGGAGTGTGCGACTTTTGATCTCAGGGTTGTGAGTTCAAGCCCCACGTTGGGTGTAGAGATTACTTAAAAACAAAAGCCTTTAATTAAAATAAACAAAAAAAGTGGATTCCCAAAACCATCCCCCAGAGCACATTTTAGTGGGAACAGCCTTTACAAACACTGCCTCTCTGGTTTTAGTGTGAGCAATGACTGAAGGGGTGACACAGAGACCAGCTAGGAGTGTCAGGACTGGCTCATGGCGGCGGCATTGCTTTTAGGGCTGATGCCAAGCAGGCATGTATGCTTATTTGTAAAAATACAACTTTTAGGGAAACATAAAACAATGTATCTTCTAAGTAGTAATTATACTGCTTCTAGGCTTAATTTTTCTAGGAATCGTTATGGAAATTCACATATTTTTGCTACTCTTGGTAACAAGCAGATGCTTTACTGAGAGTATTTACATACACTTCTGTCCAAAAAAAGAACCCATAAATATTGTGCTTATAAATGTCATATACCTAGTCTCCCACAGATGCACCTGAAGAGATTTTAAAAAGGTTTCATAACTCCCCAGAAATATCCAGATTTACAACCCACAGCTTTTGTAAAAAAAGAGTCAGAAAATTTTATGAAAAATATATTCCACTAAATCTTTTCCAGAAACAGTTTGTACACGTTCATGAATATCTGTTTCCTGCCATCAGAAAGCTGTCCTTCTGAATCTCAACAGCAGAAAAAGCCATGGAGGGGCGCCTGGGTGGCGCAGTCGGTTAAGCGTCCGACTTCAGCCAGGTCATGATCTCGCGATCCGTGAGTTCGAGCCCCGCGTCAGGCTCTGGGCTGATGGCTCAGAGCCTGGAGCCTGTTTCCGATTCTGTGTCTCCCTCTCTCTCTCTGCCCCTCCCCCGTTCATGCTCTGTCTCTCTCTGTCCCAAAAATAAATAAACGTTGAAAAAAAAATTAAAAAAAAAAAGAAAAAGCCATGGAGTTATAGTGATTGACTGAGGCAGATTCTATAAAACTTCACCTTACATATTTCTGATTTTAATTAGGGTAATCTACTTGCGCCCTGATTGAAAATGCCAAAACATGTTTCAGAAGAAGAGCGAAGAGGACGGGCGGAGACACATATCTCAAATGTTCATTCTTTAAACATTTTTTGTTGTGGCAAAATATAACGCGGAATTTGTAATTTTAACCATTTTTAGGCACACAATTCAGTGGCATTAAGTATATTCACAACGTTGTGCAATTATCACCATTATTCACTTCCAGAACTTTTCATCGTCCCCAGGAGAAACTCTGTATCGTTAGACAGTAATTTCCCATCCCCCCCCCACCTCCCCAGGCCCAGGTGACATTTATTTTACTTTCTGTCTCTCTGATTTTCCCTATTATGAGTGCTTCATATGCGTGGAATCATACAATATTTGCTCTGTCGTGTCTGGCTTATTTCACTTGGCATAATGTTTTCAGGCTTTATCCTTGTTGGCATGTATCAGTACCTCATTCTTTCTTAAGACTGAATAATATTCCGTTAATGTGTATCAATTCATCGGTTGAGAGACACTAGGTTGTTTTCACCTTTTGACTATTGTGACTAATGCTGTTATGAACACTGGTATTCAAATACTGATTGGAGTCCCTGCTTTCAATTCTTTGGGGCATATACCTACAAGTGTAATACTCATGCGTGTAAATTCTAAAGAGAACAGCCACATATACTTAAATATGATAATTTGTGTTCAGAGCTGGATCTAGAAGCTCAAGTAGGTGGATTGAAGCATGCTGAAAATCCACCTTAACTTCTAAACTGTACCTGCGGTTCCACTGCTTCAAGGTACTGGGAAATTCTGTTTTGATGAGGGCCTGTCATTTGGAAAGGTCCAAATGAGAGCTTACGTCTAAGAAACTCCCCACTATGCCTCCCCACTATGCCTCCCCAATAATGCCAATAATACGTTGTGCGGGTCTTCATTTCCCCACTTTCATTGTTGTTCCTTTAATTGATTGATTACAGTGCCCTCATGTGTCTATATTTTTATACTATGGAAGTTTTGAAGTAAGTGATGGGGAGAAAGGAGCATATTTGTGATGAGCCCTGGGTGATGGTCGGAAGTGTTGAATCACTACACTGTACACCTGAAACGAACATGACACTGTATGTTAACTGGAACTAAAATAAAAGCTTAAGTAAAAAAAAGTAAGAAAATAGAATCATAAAACTGGGGAGAAAATTTAAAGATCTTTTTAAAAACTGAATATTCACTTCATGCAAGGACCCATCTTTAAGCAGTTAAAACACTTTTTTTTTTAACAGAGATCTAAATCACACACACAAGAGTATTTAAAACGTATGGCCACAATGTGACCAATGAAGCCCCCCCCCCCCCCCGCCACAAAACCCCTCTAGTGAGAAAATGCTAGCTAGTCCATTAGAAGCTCCTTAGGTGCCCTTCATAAATTGCATTACCCTAGCTTACACTCAGAAGTAACACTGTCCTGAATTTAGTGTTAATCACTGCCTTGCTTTTCTTTATAGTTTTACCACTTTGTGTTTGTTTTCCTAAACAGCATTTGGGGGAAGGGGGGAGAGAAGGTTCCTATTTTTTAACTTTCCATAAATCGAATCCTATTGTATGTATTGTTCTGTGACTTGCTTTTTTTAGTCTACTTTTTAAATAAGCATATGGATGCATTCATCCATTTTCAAATCTTTATGAAATTTCATTTTATGAATATATTCTGGGTAGACATTCAGATTTTTTCTAGTTATGAAGAATAAATGTTTCAATGTTGTTCAACATGTTGCCTGGTGCTCACATGTGACTATTTCTCTGGGTATACAAATACAACTGTATACAAATACAAATACAACTGGTATCTTAAGTTGTGCATAAAGCCAATCTTTCTAGGTAACACCAGTCTTTCCACAGTGGATGAGCGTGGTCTATAAGAATTCCATTTTCTCCATATCCTTGCCAGAACTTGGTTGTCAGATTTTTACATTTTGGCCAATCTGAGTAAAATGTAGTTGTGGTTCAAATGTGCATTTCTATGATTATTCACGAGATTGGGCAGCTTTTCAAATGTTTACATGTAATTTGTGTTTCTTCTCCCCTATGAAATGTCCATCATGACTCGTGCCCATTTTTCTAATGGACTGTTGGAAAATTTTTTTTTTTATCAATTGATAGGCATTCTTTTGGGATGGGCTTTTTTTTTTAAATAGCAAGATATAGTATTCATACAGAAGAGTATAAAACACAAACATACTGCTTAAAGAATAATTTAAAATCTAACAACTGTGTAACCACCATAAAGGTAAAAAAAAAAAAAAAAAAAGAATGTTGCCAATACTTCAGAAGCACCTTCTTTGCACACACCCCCATCACCGTACTCTTCTTTTCTCAGAGGTAATTCCCATTCTGACTTCTGTGATTAGTTCATTGCTTTTCTTTTTATAGTTTTATCACCTGGGGATGCATCCTGAACAGTATAGTTTAGTATTGTCTGCTTTTGAATGTTATGAAAATGGATTCACACAGTATATATATTCTTCTAGCTCTGATGCCATATAGCCACTATGATGTTTGCAAAATTCCTGTTGTTTCATAGTTGTAGTTTCATGCAGCTGTAGTTCATTTTTGTTGCCATACGGTGTTCCATTGCTGTTCGGCACTTTTGTTGCTGTACGGTATACCGTGAGCCACTGAACTCATGATTCATTGTACTCATGATGGAACTGGGGTTGTTTCTACCTCTTTGTTCTTACGAACAAAACTGCCAAGAACATTATTGTAATGTCTCTGCATACACTTCAGCAAGATCTTCTCTAGGGCATATACCAAGGAGTGGAATTATAGATCTAAAGTATACATATATTCAACTTTACTAAATAACCCTAAGCCACTTTCCAAAGTAGGTATACCAGTTTACACATTCATCACCAGCATCGGAGAATTCCCATTAAGTCTGCCAGCAAATGTCAGAGTTTCTAATTTTTGCCAAGCTAGTGAGTGTAGTTTGTTTCGAACCAATCAATTCAAGCCAATTACTATGGTTTTAATGCATTCCCTGGATAATTATTCCTGAGCACCTTATATGGTTATTGGCCATTTGGAATTCTTCATTTTAAAAGCACCTGTTCAGTTATTTTGCCCATTTTCTATTGGGATGTCTGTCCTATTCTTTATATATCTTGGACACTAGTTTTTGCCAATCACATGCATCACAGATATTTTTTCCCACTCTGTGGTTTATGTTTTTCTTTCTTTATGATGAATTTTGAAGGTCAGGTTTTGTTTTGTTTTTCCAATTTAGTCAGATTTATCAATCTTTTCTGGTTAGTATCACGTATCCCAATCCATAGGTCACGAAGATGGTTTATATCCCAAAAGCTCTAGTTTTGCTGTTCATTTTCAAGTCTTCGATCCATCCGAAATCGTGTTGTTGTGGTGGGGGAATGGCTCACTTCACTTTTCCCCCATACAGACAACTATTCCGTGAGCATTTACTGTTCAAGGGTGTGTTACACAACTTGTTATTCCTTTACTAAAGAGTTCGATACTTTGCTAATAAAGTCATGTTTTTGCTTACTTACCTCCTGTACCACTCGTAAGAGTTTTGTGTTTGTTAACTTATTCATTACATGCGAAAAGTGCCACCGTAGGCTTCTTTGGCCCGTGAATATTTCAGGTAATAAATTCCCAGGCTACCAACGGCCTGCGAACGACCGCCTCCCTCAGAAGCTCCGCCCCGCGGACGCCAATGCCCGCCTTTTCCCTGAGGACGCAACACGCAGGCGCGGCCGGACCCGAGCTCCCGCGCCGCACAATGAGTTGCGCCTGCGCCGGCAAACGCCCCGCCCCTCCTCCTCTGGTCCTCTATAAAGCCTCGAGCTTCTCCTCGCGAGAGACTTCGTTCTCATGCTCGCTGCAGGGGTCGGAGGTCAGAGCGAGCGTCTCGCGGGCCGTAGGAGGAAGATGGCGGTGGAGTCGCGCGTTACCCAGGAGGAAATTAAGAAGGAGCCGGAGAAACCGATCGATCGGGAGAAAGTATGGGGTCCGGAAAGAGGTGGAGGTGGGCCTGGCGGGGCGGAGAGCGCGGCCTGTGCCCGAAGGCGGCGGTATTCAAGCTCCCCGGGCGGTTCGGAGGCCGCGACGCCTCCGGAGGGGAAGGGAGCTGTGGGCTCGCAGCCGCTTTCTTTAACTTCTGCCCTTCCTCCTTTCGCCCCCAGACGTGCCCGCTGCTGCTGCGTGTTTTCACCACCAATAACGGCCGCCACCACCGAATGGACGAATTCTCCCGCGGAAACGTACCGTCCAGCGAACTGCAGATCTACACTTGGTGAGAGTGCTGGGGCCGCGGGGGGCGCGGCCCTGGGGGGCGGTCGGACATTAAGTAATTCCCTGTGCCAGGAAAGAAGTGTCCTCCGTGTTTTCGCTTTTTCCCCTCCACTCGGGGCCTTTGGGCCCAGCTCTCAGAAAGTTGGAGGTTTTACCTGGTAGGTAAAAGGGGCCTGTCTTGTAACACCTTTAAGGTTCAAACTTTTTTGAGTTGTGAAGAATTGACAGACCCAAGATTGCTGTCGCTTGTTGTGGCTGCTGGGTACAGAAATAATACGTAAAGAAAATGCGGCGGCCTTCTTTAAGGGGCTCATGGTCATGGGATAAAGGGAAGTAAAAGGAACTCATGGGATATTTATCCTCGAGAGAATTTATGTGTGATATTAATCCTTAGGTGCCATGCGTTTAAAAAAAAGAAAACAAAGAAAAAACAGGTCGATTTTTGATCTGGTGCTTGATGGAAAAGATTGCGATGCGTGTTCAGTAAAGCCTGCCCCTGAATATTTCTCTCATGGGTGGGTACCTTCCATACCCCCAAGTCTGTCCGGGGCCAGTACATACTGCAGACATCTCTTTAGTGCTGCACGTATTTCCTTAGTTTCACATCATAATGGCTGTTTAGTAGCAGAAAAAGGTTAACAACTCTTAAAACGATGCCTTTATTGTGATAAAGATATATGTAGCGTTACATTTGCCACCGTAAGGACTCCGTTGCATCAGCTATATTCACATTGTGCAACTCTTAACCTGTTAGCAAAGCTGTTTCATTTCCCCCAACAGAAGTTCTACACCTAATAAGCAGTAACTCCCCATTCCTTTCTTCGCCCTGGTAGTCTGTATGAATTTGCCTATTCTAGATATCTTAAACAAGTGGACTCATAACAGTGTTTGTTGTGTTTGCTTTATTTCACTTAGTGTGGTATTTCGTTCTCTTTTTATGGCTGAATAATACTTCCTTGTAGGATATACCACGTTTTGTCCACTTATCTGCTGGTAGGCGCTTGAGTTTCCATTTTTTGGCTTTTGTGAATAATGCTGCTATGGACCTGGATCTGTTTAATCCCTGCTTTCAATTCTTTTGGGTATATACCTAGAAATGGGACTGCTGGAATGTACAGTTATATGTTTAACTCTTTGAGGAGCCACCAACCTTTTTCACAGCAGCCGCACCATTTTATAGTCCTGGAAGGGTATGTAATTTTAAACTGTGAGCCCAGCACAGTACAGCTTGATTCTTTAAACATTGGGACCTTATTTGTCTTTTTGGAGGTACCCTGTAGTGTGCTTCCAGTTCAGCATCATTCCAGGATAAAAGTTCTAGGGAGATTGATTTAATTTACAGGGAAGAACTGTTACTAAAGGGTTGATGAAAATCTCTATTCAGAGATGAAAATGTATGCTTCTTCCAACAAACAAGAGTTCCTGTTTGCCGGGTGCTATGCTTAGATTCTGAGGGTATGAAGTAAAGAAGGTATCGTGGTTTCCTACAGGAAGCTCAGTCTAGTGGAGAAGGCCCATGAAGAAATACTAAGTATACTTCAGGGTGAAGATGGGAGCGTGAGATTTTACCAAAGACCTTCTGCTCCTCATCCAGAAGAAAAGTTACAAAAAAATTCTTCCCTAGACTGTCCTGTCCTTAAAGTACAAGCAAATAAGGAAAGACCACCTATGTTGTATCTCAAAGTGACGGCCAAAGACAGATTCTGAAAGACTGAGTAGTTGGTGTCATAGTAGCACAGAGCCCTGCCCCTCTGCCTAAGAGCAGTACTGAAGGAGGATGAGTGAATAAATCTTGGGACTTCTTGATTTGTACAAGTAGACTGAGGGACTAAATAGGCAGCCCTAAGATAAGTCTAAGAAAGAAGAGTGCAGTCCAGAAGACCCTAGCAGAAGCAAACTGAATGTGCCAAAGCTCAGGGCACTGTATGGAGTTGGGGTAATAATAAAAAGCCAGATGCCACGGGAGTGGTAAATCTTCTGTGCTTGTATGGTCATTAAACAGGTTATTGAAAGAGAAGTAGTTAGGTAAGCTGTATCAGGGTTCGGTCAGAAAAACCGAACCAGCAGGAGATCTGCATGAAGGGCTTTGGTTCACATAATTATGGAGACTGCCTAGGTACCTAGATCCCGATCTGTAGGGCGAGCTAGCAGGAAGGGCCAGGCTGGAACTTGAGCGGGAGCTAAAACTGCCCACAGCAACCTGGATTTCTTATTCAGGGAAGCCTCCCGTCTGTTCTTAAGGCCTTTCAACGGATTGAATCGGGCCTACTCTGATTGATTGAATGAAGCTTACTCAGATTATCTGGGATAATCTCCTTAATTTAAAGCCAACTGGTTATAGACTTTCATCACATACACAGAATACCTTATAGCAACACCTACATTAGTGTTTGATTGAATAACTGGGGCTGTAGCTTTCCCACATTGACGCATAAAACTGACTCTTACAGTCACACAGCAAAGTCTCTTCCCAAGAGAGCTCTTTCTTCATCCATGCACTCAAGCTTCGGACTGGTGGTCAGAAAGCAACGCTTGGCATTCCCAGCTATTAGTTTAGGGAGACGGTCGTCGGCAGGTTGGAAGCTTGTAGGAGATTTACCGTCAGAACTGATAACGGATGTAAACCAGATTCCCTCAGTTCGTTAGGACAAGATGACAGTATGGGAAGTATTTTTAGAAAGGAAGAAAGAACTCTTTGTGGTGCACAGCATTAGTATATAAGGTGTGCCAGGGAATAATTAACATCAGGTGAAAATAAAGGTCACCTCCAAGACTGATTAAAAAATCAGCTTGATCTCAGACTTCATGGGGACAAAGTTAAAACAGGCAGGGGAGTTGTTGCAGAATAGAGTAGAACTCTGACCGTTAAAAAAGAAAAAAAGCTACAAAATTAGGAGGTGATAGGAGGGTAGCAGTGTGACTCTTTATCTGAAATTTTGTAATTCCTTCTATTTTACTTGTTTTTTCTTCTGTTAAATTCAGTGGTGAATTTCGTTAAAAATACGTATAATATTTGAAGAATGAATTATATTTTTGAATTATAACTTCATAATACATATCAAGTATAATGTGCTTGATAATCTTCAAGGTTTTTTTTTTCTGCCTCATTGTGTATGTGTACAAGAAGATGCCTACAGTGGTGTTAACATCACTGGTCATTTCTGGTGGGTGAGATTTGGGATATAATTTACTGCATTCGTGCATGCAGCTTTTCCTCCTCTGTAAAGTGTGTCAAGTGGAGAAAGGCAGTCATGCGCAGCTTCTCGCCCCATCCTTGCGTGGCTGCATAAGAGTGTCCTGGGCCTGGAGCTTTTTTACTTGTTTGTTCGTTTGTTTTCCCCAAAGAGATAAGAACCCTCACAGCCTGGTGCTGAACAGAACCCTGTTCTGGGTTTGCTGTGCCGTTGTCTGGCGCCTGACCGGCCCCACTGCAGTGTCTGTTCCCAGGGGTCCTTTACCTGCAGCACAGGAAGGGTGCGTGCAGAGTGTCGGCGCATCAGCTCCAGGGCGAGACCTGCTGGCGCTGAGGGACCCGCACTCTCAAGCCAGTCTTGTGTTGTCTTTTCTCTGTGCAAGTAAAGCACCGTTCCCTCCGTGGTCTGTGTGAGCCGGGTCCGTCTGGGCAACCCCAGTACCCACACAACATGCAGTAGGTTGACATCCTGGGCCTACTGCTCCTGCTGGAAGGCACGGGTGTGCTCTGTGCCTCCTCCACGTGATTGGACTCCTCCCCTGGAGGTGGGAACAGCTGTCCCTTGTGTGACAGAAGTTTTATACAGAAACGTTTAAAAACCGAGATGGAGAGGAGTTGAAGGCAACATATACGGAGTTCCGTAATGAGGTGGAAATAAGGCAGTGGTGGTGGGGAGTGGAGAAGACGATTCGATCTGTGTTTAGGAGGCAGAAACAACAGAGATGGGAAGAACTTAACAGTGCTTTTAGGCTTATGACCTGAGCGGCTGAGTCGGTCTTGGTAGTTTCAGTGGTAAGAGGGCAAGGGCATTGTTCTGGGGGTGATGCTTTTGAAGAGTGTCTGGTGTCCTTGTTTCATCTTATAGCACCTTATAGGCAAAGTTGTTTCAGTTCCGCATCATCCATTAAGTTCTGAGTTCACATCGTTTCAGGGCAAGAATATGTATTGTCAAAGGAGCCTCTGCTTAGTCTAAAGAAAATTTCATGTTTCATTGGCCTTCTGGCTCCGTCATCTATAGAACTCTTAAGATTCCATCTTAGAAAGAAAAAACGTTACACCTTTACAAAAATGCTTTCCTGTCATTGAGTCTAAGATGCATTTCAACTTTAGACATGATAAAATGTGGAAAAGTATATATGCTTTAGAAACAAGGAAATACAGTTATTTTAAGTGTTTAGGTTAATTTGGATTAGTTATTCTTAAGGAGGTAAATCACTAGCCCAGAAAGACGTTACATAGCAGTGAAAGATAGCAGGTATAATCCCTTAAAGTCCCTTTTGGCACTAAAAGTCTGACTTTAGTTCATCAAAATTTCAATCATTGAGGCTGGTAAGGGGCGTTTATGGGGCAAATAGTATTAGCCGCTTTAAAATTAAGTATAGGGGGCCCCGCTGACTCCGTCGGTAGAGCTTGTGACTCCTGATCTCAGGGTTCTGAGTTTGAGCCCTGCGTTGTGTGTTTTGAGAATGCTTAAAAATAAAATCCTAAAAAAAATAATAAGTATAAGACCTTGACAGCCTCAATTCTAACAGGTCACAATCCAGACACACATAATTAACTCATTATATGTCAATATCCTTGCTATATTACTGTTATATTGTTGATTAATCAAATGTAATGTTTTTTTAAAAAAAATTCAGGATGGATGCAACTTTGAAAGAACTGACTAGTTTAGTAAAAGAAGTCTACCCAGAAGCTAGAAAGAAGGGCACACACTTCAATTTTGCAATTGTTTTTACAGATCCTAAAAGGCCTGGCTATCGGTAGGTAACTTTTAATTTTTTAATTCCTGTAATCTTTTTGGCTTTGATATGTTTTAATTGATAGGGATAACCCCTTTTAATGAGCCTCCTATTGGGCAGAAAATAAATTTATATTATCTTAACGTCTGGTTCAGCTTAATGTAGTAATTAATTTATAACTGTGCCATAAGATAACGGAGCGAATCCAGTCCAGTGTTTACTTTGCATATTTAGCTTCGTTGGTCTGTGATCCATTAACAGTTGGTCTCCTTTTCTGCAGAGTAAAGGAGATTGGCAGCACCATGTCTGGGAGGAAGGGGACTGATGACTCCATGACCCTGCAGTCGCAGAAGTTCCAAATAGGAGACTATCTGGACATAGCAATCACCCCTCCAAATCGGGCACCGCCTCCTTCAGGGCGCATGAGACCATATTAAATTTTATTTACTATTCCTTGAATTATTTTTCGTTCAGTTATGTAAAATAAACTTTTTCCTCCCCTCGTCATTGCCATTAAGCCTTTAAACTCTAAATGAATTGTAATGCGTCTCCTTAGGAATTAGATTTGGCTGTGTTGGGTATTAACAGAACGTCCGTGTTTCTGGTCCTTCCATAAAATAATGAAGAAAAGTGCTCTTAGCATCCGATGTAAAACTGTATTGTCAAATACATGTGTGCAATCAACCGGAGTGTGAAAGTTCATGGCGATGGGAACAGGGTTTAGTTAGCATTTGGGGTTTATGCCGAGTAGTGGAGGATGTTGTGTTGAAGCCCGAGTGGGGCAGAGTGACAGCCGTGGTGTCGCACGAAATAGAGTGTGAGCTCGTGGCCCGGCCGCTCCGTGCAGGTAGAACTAGGGTGAGGTGGCTGGCGGAGGCCTCTTGCGGGAGCACGAGCCGAAGCGAGTTGAAGAAGCCATGTGTGCTGGAAGAGATCGCGCCGTCTGAATCAAGGTACGGTGACATAAAAAGTTAGAGGAGGATGGGTGCCACGGGGCGTTTTCTGTCTTAAAAATGGGGAGAATAGGCATTTTGAAGACAGGAACCACTAGCGAGGAAATCAGGGTGAGAACTTAGGTGAGGGTGGAAAGGTTTCCCTTGAAGATCTGAAAATGGAGGGAGGGATGAAAGCAGAATCTTGAGACCTGGGAGCAGAGCCAGGGAGGAGGCCCAGTGGAACGAGTAGGAGATAACTCTTGCGTCCCGTTGATGGTGCCGGTGAGGGGGCGTTGGGGGGTGGGGGGGGAACGGGCTTGCATATGAGTATGTGGTTGGAGGGTCCGCGAGCGTGATGCCAAAGACCGGCTGGGATGACGTAATCTGGTTGCACCAGGAGCTCCGCAGCCGCGGACCCGTTGCTTGAATCTGTGTGTGTTTGTAAAAGAGGGATGATGGCACACAGGATTAAGTGTCTGCAAAGGCCTGACCTGTAAGTGACCCTAAGTCCTACCTGTTTTCCGTAAGGTCGAGTTTAGTCACAACTGGAACCGGTCTTCCGTGGCACTCTTGTTCCCGTCTTGAAGTGTATGGACCATGTGGCTGCTGTGGAATAAGCCTAAATTACGTTAGTGGATTACGGGAGGAAATGGAAGGCGTATATTCCGGAATGAAAGACGAGGTGCTGGCAGTGGATTTCAGAGTCCGACTGCAGTCGTTTTGTACACACAGAAGCAGCCTTTTAAATGTGACGGGATGGGCCCCCCATCGCGAAGGCCGTCACCAGGCGGCAGAGACCAGCTTGGAGCTTAGATCTAATCTCGGGCCTCTTCTCTGAAGTTTACCCCAAACTCTTAGATTCTGTATTCATTCAGACTAGATGGACTTGAGTTCTGGAGGTCATAAAAGTAATTTCAACCTTTTTTTTTTTTTTTTTGAGAAGAAGAGCCATGGTCCTTTCCTGTGTGTGGGAAGAAACTGATTTACTGTGCACACGGCAAAAGCAGGAACTAAATTCAGGACCTTCGTAAGACAGTGTTTCCCATGATGTGAACCGCAGTGAGGGCTCTCCTGTAATTCCAGGTTATTGTCTTAGTAGTTTTAAAGTGGTTTATTTGCTTGGTTCCAACGTGGAATTTTTCCTTTAAAGATTGTGGTCTTCCACCGAAAGTACAGTTAAGGACTATCTAATGAACTTATTACTGACTATAATGCCAAGAATCAGAAGACTTGTACTTAGTCCTTGTTTACGTTTGGCTTTGGTAAGTATGGCTTTGGGTAAGTAACTGAGCCGCTTCCTTAAATACAAAATAGAAATAAATGGTCACCGTGACAGCACCGTGCTCAGTGCGTAGCATCCTGACTGCCTCGCTTGCTCTTAGGGTATTTTGGAGTTGAAATTTTCCCTTTGGAGTATGTGTTGTAGTTCACGTGTTGCCTGTAATAACTTGCCAGTTTCCTCACAGTGTATGTGAACTTGGCATTTTGAGGTATTTACCAGATGTTCAATAGGGAGTCTCGCCATTACATTCTATTTAGGTTTTACAAAACACGACTGGGACCGTCCTATCCATAGTGATCCCTGGCTCAGGTGACGTTTGAGACAGCAGTGTGCACGTGTGTGTGAGCACGCGCAGGCCTGTGAGGGGGAGAGAGCTATTAAACTGTTAGCTTAGGTTGAAAATTCTAAAATTTAAGCGCTGTTATTCTTAAATAAAGAGCTGAACTTAGCCTGCCTCTTTCTATTCAATCAGACACGAATTCCAGACTTGGTTTTGGGGAAACTGAGGAGGCAGCACCCGGAAACAGCTGCTCAGAATTACAGTCAGTGCTGGGCTGTGCCCGGCACGAGGAACTTGACTGCGTTTCCTCACTGAACCTTGACAGCCAAGCTACGGAGACTGTGGTTCCATCTAGCGATCAGGTGGGGGCCTGCTTCAAGTGGGCACCGCTGTGGGGCACACGCGCACCCAGGTACCCAGCAAAAGCTGAAACGTACGTTCCCCCAAGTAGGGTTCTTTGGCGATTTCTTTCATTCTCGCCTCTGCAGCCTGGCTCCCACTCACGTTGCAGGGCTGCTTCCTGCAGGAAATCTTCCCGCCACAACTGGTTTCTCCCAGGGGCCAGTCGTCTGGAGTATGTAGACTGGTTTCAGTGTTTGTACAAACCAAGCCACCCATCGTGAGTGAAACCAGAGCTCCCAGCCGAGAGTTTCAGAGCAGCCGGACGGGGTCCGTGTGTTCCGATTTGTATTTTGCTGCTTGACTGTGGGTGGTTTTGCCGATAGCTGTAGTTTCTTGGAGCCCGCAGTGGAACCAAACCCGAAGGAAGTCTGTTTCTCAGGGATTTTCTCCCCCCCCCCCGTAATCCCTGGCAGGGGAATAAGCTCAAGCCTAAAAAGCAATTTTAATACTAAATACTAAGAAAATAATTTTGTTAAACAGAAATCGTGATCCTGGGAATGTTATGCAGAATTTATTATAGAAAGGTGTTATTACAAAACCAACCTTGAGTTTGTGGGGAGGAGCCAATGAAATGCTGCTGAGTGTGCGTCATGGTGAATATTCAGTTAAAGTGCTGTTTACTAAGGAAGAGGAAAAAAAGCATTTGTGGCCCCTTGTTTTGTGCCTTCGGTTGTCAGAATTTCCTGTCCAGGCTAGCAGCTCCTAAGAAAAGTTCAGATGGGAGTTGATGAAATTAAAGCAGTTTCAATTGTGAGTGAGGTGAACCTCCCGAGGCATTTTTCACACCTGTAAATTGTAGAGTCCCTGTTGGGCGTTGTTGGAATCTGTGCTGTTCCTGATTACTTCAGCTCCCCTCGTGCTTCTCAGTACTTTGCCGGGACAAAATCCATGTAACGAGTGCCCGTCGGATAGCAGGTGCCTGGGCCTGGCAGTACACCAATAAGCCTGAGCCACATACGGATCCTTAGAGAGTCTTCCAGTCTAGGGGTGCCTGGCAGCCGAGTCAGTTGAGCATCTGGCTTCGGCTCCGGTCATGATCTCACAGCTCGGTTTGTGAGGTCGAGCCCCGCGTCGGACTCCGTGCTGAGCGCTCGGAGCCTGGAGTCCGCTTCCGATTCTGTCTCCCTCTCTGCCCCTCCCCCATCCACATTCTGTGTCTCGCTTTCTCTCTCTCTCGCCTTCAAAAATAAAAATAAATTTTTTTTTAAAAAAGTCTTCCAGTCTAGTCACGGAAGTGTAACTGGTAACAGGTGGGTCGGAAGGTGTCAGGACGAAGGTAATCACTGCTGAAAATGGCACTGGAGCTTGTCCAGCTCCTAAGGGCAGCTGGGTCGGACTTCTGTTCCCCATGTGGGATCTGGCAAGGGCAAAGGCACGGATGTGGGGAGGCAGGCGCTGAAGTGCCCGGTGGCTGGAGTAGATACAAAGGAAATGTCTGCTGCCACTGCGGTAATTTAGGTGCGAATCGCAGTAGCGGCAGAGGGCAAGGGGGAGGGAACACGTCCAGAGATGTGAGGCCAGCAGAAAGAATTGGAAGCGGGATCTGGGCTGGGACGCGGGACCTGGCAAAGGAAAGTCCGGCACTAGAGTAGAGCCACGGCTTACTCATGTGCACGTTGGCATGAGAGTACTCGATCCTTCGTAGGAGTTGATCCAAGAATTAAATTGGTTCACGTGTTTAGAACTGTGCCTCGCATAGTAAGACGTTACCACTGTTTCAGTAGCTTAAGTTGCTGGGTGTCTACATGACGAACAAAAGCAACCAAGGTCCTTGCCGTCTTCGAGCTCGCGGTCCGTTCGTAGCGACAAAAACGTACACCCAAACGTACCACAAATTCTGCCGCCTGTCGCGAAGGGTGAAAATACGGTGCTCAGAAAGAACCAGGCGGGACCGGGGAGAGAGTGACATTTACCCCGAGACCGGAGGCAGATGGCCCCAAACGCCTCTGAAATGGCCAGGAAACTCCAGCTAGCGAGGCAGAGGAGCTTGTGAAGCATTTGACCGAAAGGCCCCAGGCCGGAGCTGGCCGGCTGCAGGCCCGGCCGGAAGATCGGGCTCGGCGCTGTCACCCCTCGACTCGCGCTCTGCGGCCGGGGCTCCGTCCGCTTCGCGGTGAGAAGATGGCGGCTGGCAGCCGCGGCCGTGCGTCTCGGCACGTCGAGGCAATGGGCGCGCGGTTTTGTTCACCGGCGGTTCCCCGAAGTCCCGGGATCGGCCCTGGCAGTCTTGACGTGCGCCAAAGGCCCGGCGCGGCCGGCCGCTGTGGCCCGGGGCTCGGCTGTGAGTCCTTCCGGGAAACCTGGAGTGCCGTTTCCCCTTAAAGGCCGGTGGTGGGCGGACTGAGGCGGAACCTCCAGCCACGGGAGGGCATTCGCTAAGCGGGGCGGCCGGGGAATGTTCCTTCGAGAGCAGTGTGTGTGGGGCCCCGCGGCAGGAAGGGGCGGAAAAGGCGAGTTGGCCTGTGCGGAGAGCACGAGCTGCGAGCGAAGAGGGAGAAGTGGCCCAAGGTCAGATCGAATAGGGCCGCGGAGGCCGCCTCAGAGATCTTGGGTTGCGTTTCGAAAGCACAGGGGGACGCTGAAGGGTTTTAAGCCAGGAGACAGGCTCGCCGGATCCTAACCCTCGGAGCTTAGTAAGCTGGAAGCGTCGCAGCGCGAAGTAACGGGAACTAGGGCCATGGGGGAAAAGTGGAAAGCGTCGTGGGGAGAAGTTTCGGGCAAATGGAAGTCGAGGGGCCGCCGCGAAAAAAGCAGGCGACCGGAAACGCTTACTTCGGTCTTTATTTTGCATCTTAAGACACCTGAGGCTTCTCACCCCCACCCTCTCTCCAGTCCACTGCGAACTTCCTTCCCTGGGTCCCCGTCAATGTTAGTGCTGTCGGGGGCTCCTGGGTGGCTCAGTGGGTTGAGCATCCAACTTTGGCTCAGGTCATGATCTCACGGTTCACGGGTTTGAACTGTGTGTCCGGCTCGGTGCTGACAGCAGGGGGCCTGGAGCCTGCCTCGGATTCTGTGCCTCCCTCTCTGCCCCGCTCACGCTCTGTCTCTCAAAAACAAACGTAAAAAACAAAAAACTAGTGCCGTCAACGACCTGTTTCGCGAAGCCCAGTGGTCGCTTCTGTCTTTTCACTTGGATCCTCAGCAATATTGATAGAGTTGATCACTCTCTGTGAAATATTTTCTGCCTTCACTGGCCTCTTCTCGACCTCCTTTGCTAGATTGCTCCGCCTCTTTCCGTCTTCCAAAGTTAGGGGAACCTCAGGCTTGAGTCCCGAATATGCTTCGAGTCCACCCCTCCCTCCTTCGGCCGTCTCATCTGCTCTTCGATCTATGTGCGTGTAGCTCCAGAAAACTGCCAACAAGAGCTTGACAGCAATTCGGGAGTCATATATAAAACTGACCAGAGCTTTCCCTTGAAACATAAAACTGAAAAACTTGCAGATAATTATGTTACACTACATTTAACAAAAATTAAGTTATAACCACATAGTAATTCCTAGAACAAAGAATCATCAAGTGGTGTTTTAGGGATGATCTTCTAACAGGATGAAAAGAGCACAGCGGGACAGGTCTTCACATTGGACTTCCGAGGCGCAGGCCTAAAAGAGGGCCGGGTCATCCTTCCTGCGTCAAATTTCCCAAACCTAAGCCTTTGAAGGTTAGTAGGTTTGGGACACTGAAGCACCTTGTCAAGATACTTGCAAACTGCTGCTTCTCAATTTTAACTGGTGTCCACAGAGGACAGGCCCTTCTTTTCCCTCTGGTTGTAGTCTGGAGTTCGCCAGCATTACTTGCATGAACTTAGAACTACTTCCTGGGCTTGGACAGGGAGGCCTGAAGCTATCAGAGGGCTCAAGAGACAAGGGTCCCAGGTGACAGTCCACAGAAGGGCACCTGGCCCAGGAGGAGTCCTCAAAACCTTCCACATAGAGGCTCGGGGTGTGCTGGGTGGCCAAGCTGGAGAGAGGGAACGCTGAGAGGGTCAGCAGCCACGTGGTGGATGGAGCGGACCGTACGAAGAAGCTGTGAGTAAAAACAAAAGGCACGCGTCCTGATGGGTGAGCCCCTGGCTCTGGTGGTCCGCCCGAGGCCGTCCGCGGTATAATCACCCAGGCCTGCGGCCTCCTCCCTCTTCCTAAATTAACTTAAGCTGTCATCTGTAGACAACAGTCTTAAGAGAGCGCTGCTGAGCTAAAAGGTGTGAAAGGCTCAGGGACAGTCGTGAGAGGAGACAGGACAAGGACAGAGCCAGAATCAAGGGAGGAGCCCAGCTCTGGCTGACGGCACCACGACCCCGCCACGAGATCAGGATGGCCTTGTTGGAAGTCACAAACATTTAAGAACTTTAAACTTTTTACCCTGCGTCCTAGTATCTCTCAACCATTTTGTTAGATCAGGCAGGTGAATGTGAAGTCAGTGCAGTCATAACGACAACTTTAACGACGGAATAGCCGAGTAAGATCGAGGTTAAATGGAGTCAAATCTTAACAAAAAGCACATCTGTGTCCGTGTTCATCTTTACTCTGGGCTGGTTTGGAAAAAGGGGGAAGATGTGGGGCTACACGACGAGTCCATCCCGCTCCGCTTCCACCGCCTTCTGTTCTGTGTCTACAAAACTTGCAAAGTTTTCTGCAAAAAGATACAAAGTTTAAGAAAAATCCATGAGCTATAATAGACATCAACAACACAAATGACAGAACACTGTGACTATGTATTTTTGCACTTAGAAAATCATGTGCCCAGTGACCTCCTACTCGCTAGTGTGGGGATCTGAACTACAGGGACAGCAAGCTCAGTATCCCGAGAGCCAGAGTTGGGCTGTTAACCTGTTAAGCTGGCAAATGTCAAAACATTTTACTACCATCTGAATGCTCATTTGTAAGTGTCTTCCTCCAATAACACAGGTGATTTCTCTGGAATGGCGCCTACCTTCACCAGTTTTCTTTGTTGCCAGCACCTCGGACGCTCGGTGGTGCTCCGTATTTGGCGAGGAACGCTTTGCCGGGTGGCACGGCTCTCACTGCCACTGGAGTAGCTAGGTTCGAGTTGTATTTTGATAAAATCTGAAACAAAACAAATTCCTTTTTATCAGGTCCCAAGAACTACACAACAAACTTGGAAGGTGTTATAAAATACTCAAGAAAAGCCAAGAAAAGGGGCTCAGCTCAGTCGGTTAAGTGTCCGACTCTTGGTTTTGGCTCAGGTCATGACCTCACGGTTTGTGAGTTCGAGCCCCGCGTTGGGCTCTGTGCTGACAGTGTGGAGTCTGCTCAGGATTCTCTCTCTCCCTCTCTTTCTGCCCCTCCCCCACTTTCTCTTTCTCAAAAATAAACTTACCCCCCAAAAAAATCTTTAAAAAAAAAAAAGCCAAGAAAAATGTAAAAATATGGGTTATTTGAAACAGTAATTTTTCAGCAGCACAGACATTCAACAGCCAAGAAAGGATGGAGTTTGAAATTGAACTTTGATGTAGAGGCTTGACTTCTGAAGCCTTCTAAAATGTACTCTAAGATTAGTGGAAGTAAAATAAGCAGCAACATATCCCCGAGAGCAAATTAAGCCTTTACAACACTGTCAGGGAAAATGTATCTAGGAAAGAGGCAAAATATGTGCTCAAAAGATGATCAGCTATTAAAGATTATGAAAAGGAGACTCTGAAATATCAGCTATGATTTTTTTTCACAAAGAGGTGATACATGAAATACAAGGATCCCCCCCTTTCACGTAGAAATAAAAAGGAGGATCGGCCACAGCAAAGTAGAAACTCTAGATAAACTCCTATAAAGATAGAAGACGCACACCCGATTTTCTAATGTCCAGGAAAACAGAGAAGACCAAAAACAAAGGGTAGCAAATACTTTCTCGATATCACAGGATGAGTCCGCTCTCTTGGCATTTAGGTATTACTCCAAGTAGCCACGGCTCTCCACAAGCTAGGTAGTTTGCGAGAACGGTTCTGAACGACTCCACTTGCCTAAGCGACAGCTGCCACTCTAACTTCTATTAGGGTGGGGAGGACTGGTGGTGACGGGGTAGAGTTGGTAGTCCTTACAGATCAGTAGTAGACTAGAGGTAAGTGGTGTACAAAACAATCAGACATTCTTGGGGCGCCTGGGTGGCTCAGTCGGTGAAGCGTCCGACTCTTGATTTCGGTTCAGGTCACGATCTCACAGTTCGCAGCACGGAGCCCCGAGTTGAGCTCTGTGCTGACGGCGCGGAGCCTGCTCGGGATTCTTTCCTTCCCTCGCTCTCTCTGCCCCTCCCCCGCTCACGCCTGTGCACTTGTGTGCTCTCTTATAAATACATAAACATTAAAAAAAAGAATCAGATATTCTAACATGTAAGTCAGTGTTTCTCAAACTGATGTCCAAGATGTCTCAGGTTCAAGAAACACTGATATGTTATCCATGATACCCTACCCTGGAGAATGGGGGGGTACGTGGCATTTCCAATTTTGCCAGCCATACCTCCAATGGAAAAAATGGTCAACGTGGCAATGGCAGTTGAACAATTATTATAAAATATTATAAGAGGACATTTCAGAACATGAAGTTGAAGGTAAAGAGAAAATGCACCATGAGGAAATAAAAGTATGATGAAATCCTGAGCTCATGCTGAGTCTGAAGAGCCTTATCCAGGTACTCTCAGAAGGGACTGAGAGCCCAGAATTCGGATTTTCTCAGTACCCAAACCAGCACATTAGCCCGATGAGAAATAAGATGGTTTTTATACAGTTTCAGGTCGTTAATATAAATGTCTAATTTTGAAAAGAATGTATCAGAAAAAGAAACAGCCTGGGAAAATAACCTGAAGAATATCTTCTGGAATGGTAGTGACTTCTGGAGGTGTAGGTGTTCTCAGCAGATTCTCGTAAGAAGAAATTACGGGAGAAGAGGGATCCGCAAAACTCTCAAAACACTTCTCCGAATTTAAAACTAACGATGTACAGTCTTTCATTTCCAAATCGTTTGATGAACTATTTGTTTCCGATGATGGATAATTTGTGGATCCCTATTGAACAGAAGTATATCATTAAATTATGATGGCATAAAATACAGTAAATAAAAATTAGTCAATTTTAGTTCTGTCGCACAAAAATGACCCGCTCTTCCTCGACCGATCACTAAAGAAAATGGAGGAAACAAAGAAATGGCACACGGAGAACAAAATACTCTCTTCTTACTAATAAAGGCTGAGCTACAGCTTATTATGAAAACTAAACAGGCCTGACTGAACAAGGTTAGAGGGACTCACCCACCCAGTTTCAGGCAACACTAAGCTGTCCCAGGTAAGAGTAACACCATGGATAAGCAAAAGTGTGACCACACGCCCTCACTCTTGACACAAAGAAAGCCCGTGTGAGGTAAGCTTAGCATGCAATTCGTGCTAACCTGAACAACTCAGTAAATCACCTCCTCTCTCTAGGGTCAGAGTTCATAGAGTCACATCAGCAGGGGGCCTTCCACAAGAACAGGAACACAAGGAGTGAATTCATTGAAAGTGGCAAGTACTAGCAGGAGATAACCTGATAGGGACTTCAACTCATACTAGTATTTTGTCCGTCTAGCTGTTCCGTCCAGTAGAGTAGCAACAAGCCACACGGGTCTACTTAGATTTAATTTGAAATTCATCAAGTTTTTAAAAGTAAAAATTAGCTCCTCAGATGTACTAGCCACATTTTACGGATAGCCCAGCCTACCGTGTCGGTTGTCTTAAGTGTTCATAGTGACTTCAAAAAAGGGAGGAGGTAGGATTATATTAATTTGTTCATCGAGTAATATTTGGAAAAGGCAAAAAAATCACCCGTGAATCTGTGACCTGGAGACAATCACATTTTGGTGTGTTTTTATCCATTCTTTTATTCTTTTCACTTGAAATAAAATATATATATTGTGTGTGTGTGTGTGTGTGTGTGTGTGTGTGTATACATGCACATGCATGTCATTTTCCATCATTAAGTATTTTTAAAACATTCTTTTTATGTTCTTATCTGTGCTTTAACACATATGTTAGGGGTGCCTGGGTGGCTCAGTGGGTTCAGCATCCAACTCTTCTTTCGGCTCAGGTCATGATCTCATGGTTCGTGAGTTTGAGTCCCGTATCCGGCTTTGCACTGTCAGCGCGGAGCCTGCTTTGGATTCTCTTTTTCCCCCGGCCCTCTCCCACTCTCTCTCTCAAAATAAATAAATATTTTAAAAAATAATAAAAACATACTCTAGTTACAGAACACCATACACAGCCTAGTGTAGTTTGCTTCTATGCTACCGCTTGACATGTAGATTTTTCCCATGCTTTGCTCTTATAAATAATGCTGTTCCTTCCTCTATAAACTCCTTGTTATAATTCTTTGTGCCAATGTACCTTAGAGTAAATTCTGAGACACGGTTAAAGGGCATGAAAACTTTTAAAGCTTTTGCTATATGCTGCCAAATTCCCCTAAATTCCCCTCTAGAAATATGTAAATGTACTCTTAAAGGCTGCAGTAGCCTAAGTGGTTTTTTTTCCTTTTTAACTGAAGTACAGTTGACAGACAATATTAAAACAGACTGCGTCTAGAAATAGTAGCGTATATAGGTCATCAGGAAAAAGATCAGAGCTTTCAAGGTTATGGAAACGTACCAAAGCTATACTGTTCTTTGTAGAAGGAATTTTCAAACCAGGAGTGCAGAACGTGGGTGCCAAGGGGGAATCTGTATAGTCGCCATCTAAGAGACACAAACAATGGCATAAAAATATACATTTGAAAATAAAGTTGAGGGGCACCTGGGTGGCTCAGTCGGTTGGGCGGCTGACTTCGGTTCAGGTCATGATCTCACAACTTGTGAGTTCGAGCCCCACGTCAGAGCTCTCTCAACTATTTAAAAAAATTTTTTTTTAATGTTTATTTATTTTTGAGAGACAGAGTGCGAGCAGGGGAGGGGCAGAGAGAGAGGGAGACCACTTGACAGAATCCAAAGCAGGCTCCAGGCTCTGAGCTGTCAGCACAGAGCCTGACATGGGGCTCAAACCCACGAACCAAAAGATTATGACTTGAGCCGAAGTCAGATGCTTAACCGACTGGGCCACCCAGGCATCCCAAGATTTCAACTTTTACATTATAGTCAATATAATTTGTGTACTTTATGTTTAAGAACTCAAGAGATTAGCTACAGTGTGTGCTTGACTAGACAGGAAGAAACAAAACTTCATATTCGCTTATCATCGGCACTAATAAAAGTTCAGCAAGGTATAAGGGCAATATACAAAAACAAAAATCAGTAGTTCTAGCAAAAGAGCAACAAGCAATTAAAAATATAATTTGATAGAAGATCTTTTTTTTAATATGAAATTTATTGCCAAATTGGTTTCCATGCAACACCCAGTGCTCATCCCAACAGGTGCCCTCCTCAATGCCCGTCACCCACTTTCCCCTCCCTCCCACCCACCCACCCACCCATCAACCCTCAGTTTATGAGAGAAGACATTTTTTACAACAGCAACAAAGAAGACAAGACGCCTACAGGTAACTCTATCAAAATCTGTATGAACTTTCTGGAGAAGATCAAATTTCTAAAGAAGAAAAGAGGGAGGGAAGAGGACAAGGAGGTCACCTACCTTCTAAGACACTAGGATTTACTCTAAAGCCATAACTGACTATCAGAACAAGAAAGAGATTTCAGAAACAGAACCATGTGTATACAGACATTTAATGACTCTAACACATAGTATGATGAAAGCAGTCTTAAAAAAAATCAAAGAGAAAAAGTAAACATGTTAGAAAAATGATCAGACTAGGAAAATTTTATTATGTCTAAAAATCAAGTACTGGGAAAGATGGAGAAATAGGAACAGAAACACTGCTGGTGGGAATCAGAACAGCCGCTCTTGGGTGGCAATTAAGCATTTAGAGAATACGGAAGATATGCATCACCTTTGATCTAGAAATGCCACTCCTAGATGTAACACATGTACACAAGGAACAAAGTCATCAGAGCACTGCCTGTAGGAGTAAAGAAGTAAAAAACAACTACCCCTTAATAAGCAAATGAATAAATGAAATTTGGCTTATTCATGTAACGCTTAAAAATTAAGATGAACTGGATTTACATGGAGTGAACAAAAAAAAAACAAGTGACAAAATAAAAATTGGATGTTGTAACTTAAATAAAATTTTCAAACACCACAACTATACTTTAGAATAATCATCACTTTAGGGGAGGAAGGGAAGGAGAATAACGGAGTAGGGATTTAGCTTTATGTGTAACGGTAAAAGAAAGATCTGAAGCAAATGTAGTACGATGCTAACATCTACTTAATCTGAAATCTGCATGGAGACAGTCAAACACGTGGGACTCTAAGACAGCCTCTGAAGTGGAACGGAGACAGTGCATCAAGCTGAGAGCCTGGAAGAGCAGTGAGGTCTGCGAAGCAGGAACTGGAAAATGCTTGCCCAGTGGCACTGACTCCAGGGGAACAGGATGAAAGCAAGTGAGGCTAAAAGTCTAGTCTTTGCAAGAAACGGAAAACCAGAGTAGCAGTTCCAAGCGGTGTAAAGTCGTGGGTTCTGAGCTCACTCTACGTGTCCAGTGCAGGCGACCTGAGTCAAGCAGTTAACATAAAAACGTGTGCGATCGGTAAACCCGCGGGGCCTTGGCTGGGGCAAGCATGAAATGGTTCCACAGGACTCCGTGACAACCCATGACACTGAAAACAACTTCATCTGAGAGGAGTTAAAAACTAAGAGCCTGGCAATCCCTATCAAAATAACACCAGCAGTCCTTCCAGAACTAGAACAAACGATCCTAAAATTTCTATGGAACCAGGAAAGACCCCGAATAAGGAATCTACTTCTGAAAACACTGTTGCACTATATGCTAACTTGGAGGTAGATGAAAAAAAAAAAAAAAAATACGAAAAGCCTGTAAGGAAACGCACCTCCAAGAAAGAGAATCAGAGCAATAAACAAAAGTATTAACACCTTAAACTGTTTTCCAAATACATGGGTCTAAAATGTTCAGAGATAAAGGAAGGCACAGAAATCATAAGGCAAGGGACCAGGATTATGGAAGGGAAAAAAAAGAACAGTCACATTTGAAGGGAAAAACATGTAAGACAGAAAATGTAGTCCCTGGAATAAAAATTCAATAGATTAAAATAATAATTTAGACTCAGTATAAAAGAAAAATAGCAAAGTGGAAGAAAGTTCCAACTAAAGCACAAGGTAGCATAGAGAAAAGGAAAATATCAAAGGGAAGTTAACAGACCAAGGAGACTGAAGGAGAACATTCTAAAATCTGTTACAGAGATTCCAGTAGAAAAAAATTGAAGAATTAGGGAAGAGGTAATCTTATTAAAGAGATAATCTCAGAGTATTTTCCAAAATTGATGACATGAGTTCTTAGTTTGAAAATCATACCAAATTCTAAACGCAATAAATAAAAACAAATAAACTTATTGTAAAATTACAGAGAAATGTAGAATATCAAAGATAATGACAAAAATCTTACAACCGGGAAGAAAAGACCACAGATCTACACAGGAAAGCACACCAGGCCCACAGGACTCTGCTCATCAGGAATGCGCACCGGATCACAATGAAATAATTTCTGTATAAAATTTTGAAGAAAGTCAGCTATCTATTGTATATTTCCAGCTAAATCACTGTTCCAAAATGAATGACAGAGAAAGAAAAAAGAGATCTTCAGACACAAAACCAGAGACCACTTCTCACAGACGAGAAGTATCTCAGAGAACTGCTGGAGGCTGTGCTTTCACAAGAAGAAAACTAGACCCAGAAGGAATGAGTGGGATGTAAGAAGCAACAGTAAATAAAGAAAATGGTAAACAAATGACGAATTTTCACTAGGTATAGACTCTAAGAATCATACTAAAGGTACTTTTGTGGCATAAGAATAGAGTCAAACTAAAATACGATACAATCTCTCTTGACCAGCCATCACTGAACCAAAGTTCTAATGGATAAACCTAAGCTTGCCATTCCCTCCGTCAAATACACTGCCTGTGGTATACGGAAGTTTTTTCGTCAGTGAGCTGTTCTTTAAAAAATCCCTCCCGGGGACACCTGGGTGGCTCAGTCGGTTCAGACTCTTGATTTCAGCTCAAGTCACGATCTCACGTCTTGTGAGTGAGCCCACACTGGGCTCCGCATAGAGCGCGCACAGCCTGCTTGGGACTCTCTCCCTCTCTCTGCCCCTTCCCCACTCGTGCTCTTTCTCTAAAAATAAATAAACTTTAAAAAAGATGTTTAAAAAAAATCCATCCCACTTCAGAAGTAATACACAAATATTCTCCTATATCATTTCCTTTCCCTTTTTTTTTTTTTCTTTTTTGCTTAAAGTTCATTTATTTATTTTGACAGAGGGAGAACATGTGAGATGGGGGGGGGAAGAGAGAGAGGGACACACAGAACCGGAAGCAGGCTCCTCACTGTCAGCGCAGAGCCCCACGAGGGGCTTGAACCCATGAACCACGAGATCATGACCTGAACTGAAATCAAGAGTCAGATGCTTAACCGACTGAGCCACCCAGGTGCCCCCCGCTCATCATTTTCGAAAAAGTTTATGCTCCGCTGGGAACTGACTCTTGGTATGTATGAGATGGTCCACTCTCTCCCTCTTTGGTACAGACAGGCTCTTTCCTACAAGCTGAGCTCTAAGTTTACTATGAGTCATTTGTCTTTCTTCACACCTGTTGATGCCAGAAATACTTGTTAATTTAATAACATAATTTAATATGTCAGTGAAATTAGTACAAAAAGAATTTTTCTGAAAAGATGTTCCTAAGTTTGGAAGACTTGATAAAGACAAGTTACTTTTAAAAATATGGCAATAGGGGCGCCTGGGTGGCTCAGTCGGTTGAGCGTCCGACTTCGGCTCAGGTCACGATCTCACGTCTTGTGGGTTCGAGCCCCACGTCGGGCTCTGTGCTGACAGCTCAGAGCCTGGAGCCTGCTTCGGATTCTGTGTCTCCCTCTCTCTCTGCCCCTCTCCTGCTTGCACTCTCTCTCAAAAATAAATAAACATAAAAAAAATTTTTTTAAATGTGGCAATAAATTTGACAGAGATTAGACAATTATAATTAATCAAGAAATCACAAAACTCTAGAATGTTTTCTTTTATATTTTTGTGAAAACTGATGTTTTTGTAGTTGGTGGGACAAATATGAAAACACTGTATGAAATTTTTAAGTTCTTGTAGTATTTTAAAAAAACAATTTGAAATGGTAGCTACTGTATTCTAAGTGTAGTTTATGTAAGAAAAATAATGTAGAATCTGATCAATGGGCTGAAGCTAAATTTAAAAAAAAGGTACTGTTGATTCTGTAACAGAAGTTTGGTGAATGAATATATATTTATGTTTTAAGTTAAAATGTTAGAAACAAACAGGCTGGCAAATATTTTTTTTTAATGTTTATTTATTTTTGAGAGGGAGAGAGAGAGAGAGACAGTAAGCACACATGAGCAAGGGAGGGGCAGAGAGAGAGAGAGGGAGACACAGAATCCAAAGCAGGCTCCAGGCTCTGAGCTGTCAGCACAGAGCCCATCGTGGGGCTTGAACTCACGAACTGTGGGATCATCACCTGAGCTGAAGTCAGACGCTCATCCAACAGAGCCACCCAGGCGCTCCAGATAAATATTGGCTATAATCAGGAAAACTATGAAAAGCATACCGGAAAATTCTTTCTCTAGTATGAAATTATGCCGCACCCAATGGGTTAGAACTTTACATAACTCAATAGCATGAACTGACAAGACGCAGAAGGACTATGGGGGTGTCTAAGATGATAGAACCATTTTTGTACAAAGATAATCTAGAAAAAGGATAGCTGAGAAGTAATGTGATTCTTATACTCACCATTTTTTTTCAACTGCTGGATTATGAGGCCAGGAGTAGCAAAGAAATGATTACTGGTCACCGGTTCTGATTCTATGGCCTCCTCACTGGTGTGATTCATAGGGAAATTATAAGGTGTAAAAAAAAAAAAAAAGTTAATATTGAACCTCTGGGAAAAAATTCAGTCTTGCTATATATGGTCCAGTGTAGACAAACAGTCAGTTCCATTCTGTGTAACACAAGTCCCATTGAACTGTGTTTTTTTTTTTTTTTTTTTAATTAATGTACACACATGGCTCAAAAAAAGTGATGAACCATTTGGTATTGACAGCCTTGACTGCGAAGCAGGCTAAGCACCCCTGACTTAAGGGAAAGCTGTAAGTTTAACTCATCAGTTCAAATACAGGAGCTACATAGTTCATGGTTTCAAAACCATAAAGTGGAATTTTGCAACCAGTTTACAGATATAAATTAAGAACTTGTCATTTTTTTTAGACTAAAAAAGACTGATCCCTGTCATCTAAGGATGTTCTAGCCATTTACTCAGATGTCTGGAATTAAAGAGGAGTATCATCAAATAAGTATAAGATGGTTCAACTAACCAACTGTCCTGGCATAATTTACTGAATAATTTTTACTTCTGTAATATATATATTTATATGTATCTGTATATTATATATTTTACTATTCGGTCATATTCCCTCATTACTATTATTTTTTATTACTATTTCACTACTCTCTTTTTTAAGATTTTATGTTTTTAAGTAATCTTTACACCCAACATAGGGCTCGAACTCATGACCTCAAGATCAAGGGTTGCATGCTCTTCTGACTGAACAGCCAGGCACCCCCTTTTTAGCTACTTTTACTTATTATTCTTCCAAGTAAATTTTAGAGTCATTTTATCATTTACTTTAAAAAAATCCTATCGAGGCTTTGTTGTAAATGCACAACATCTATAAATTAATTTGTCATGATTAAGCATCTTAACAACATTCAGCCGGTCTATCAGGATGAAGAAAAAACATTATATTCCCCACTTTTTCCTTTACTTAACCCAGAAATATTTATGGTTTTTATCATGTAGATCTTTTTACCCACGACTGGCATCAGTATTTCACTTTTTTTGTCGCAAATTTGAATGGATTTTTTTCTACTCCGTTTAGGAACTAGTTATTAATAAAATATAGGAAAACATTATTTTAAATGGTTAACTTACCACTATATAAAATATATCTTCTATGAGCCTCTTTCTTGAAGTTTGAGATGTGAATTTTTTGAGTTGCCCATGTACAAAACATGGCCTAGAAATACTTGTTACTGGCCAGAGTTATCAAGAATGATGTTAAATAATGGTGACAGATAGCTTCACTATTATTAGATACTTATAATTTATCATGTTAATGAAGTACTCTATTTGGAGTTTGACCAAACGTTTTAAAGGAACGGGTATCAAATTTTACCAAATCCTTAAGGCACCCAGGTGGCTCAGTCAGTTAGGCGTCTGACTCTTGATCTCGGTTCATGATCTCACAATGAGTGAGACTGAGCCCTCTGACAGCACAGAGCCTGTTTGGGATTCTCTCTCTCCTTCTCTCTTTGCCCTTCCCCCATCTGCACTCTCTCTCTCTCAAAATAAGTAAACTTAAAAATTTTTATCAAATTCCTTATTGGCATCTATGAAGATTATCCTTTTTTCCCTTATTAAATCAAATCATTAAAATGTATGTTATGGGCTTCAAGTATTAAACTATCTTTGCATTCCTGAGATAAGCTTAACTTGTAAGTTATCTACTATGCTTGTAATATTCTGTGAATTCAACCTGTGAGTAGTTTAATTGGGACTTTACATTATTATTCATCAAGTGGACTGGTTATAGTTTTCTCTTGCATGCTCTGCCAATGTGTGTATCAAGGGTATGTCAACCTCATAAACTAACCTCAGTGTTTTCTGTCTTAGATGTTTTAGAAAAACAACGTTTTAAAGTAGGTTTCATGTCTGCCACGGAGCCCAGCGTGGGGCCTTAGTATGGGGCAGAACTCACGACGCTGAGATCAAGACCTGGACTGAGATCAAGAGTTGCACACTTAACCAAGTGAGCCACCTAGGTGCCCCCAAAAAGAACTTTTTTAGGCTGTGCTCCAATAAAACCTTATGTACAAAAAATAGGGAGCAGGCTGGATTTGGCCTGTGGCAGTAGTCTGCAGACCCCTGATAGTGACAGTTCTTTTTAAAGATGATTATTTTCAGGGGACCTAGGTGGCTCAGTTAGTTGAGCATCTGACTATTGACTTTGGCTCAGGTCATGATCTCACGGTTCATGAGTTCAAGCCCTGCAGTGGGCTCTGTGCTGACAATGTGGAGCTTGCCTGGGATTCTATCTTTCCTGCTGTCTCTGCCCCTCCTCCGCTCCTGCTCTGTCTCAAAATAAATAAATAAACTTTTTTTTTAAAGCGGCTTACCTTTTATTCTCCTTCATATTTTTAAGTCCCATCGTGTAATCTTCATTCAAACACGCAGTACAGTCAGAGATACCGAAGTGTTCTAATTTAGGAGTTACACACTCAAAATCATCCATCTTTAGGGCACATTTTGGAGTTTTTAGTACTTTAACTACGGACTGCTTGGAAGATGGAGTTACAATTCTGGGCTCTTCTTCATGGTCGTTTACTGCCTGTGGAGGGTTTGGTGGAACTTGGGATATCATGTACCGCTCCAGCCCAAAATCTGAAAGTTGGGGACTCCGTGGAGACTTCTCAGAACTAGCAGTGCTTGGAACAGCAGGATTGGACAGACTGTCCTTCACATCAGGCATTTGGACATTTTCATGCTTAGTGGACTCTGAGTCAGAGTCAGTGATTTCTTGTTCATCCGCTGTGAGGAAAAACCAAGGAGGTCATATTCTGGTCAAACATCAAACCACAAAATCCCAAGTACTAAAGCCACATAAAATAGCTCCATCTGAAATGTCCCCAATCAGCAAAAGTCCTGATTCCCTCCTTAGTCTCTAAAGTTTTATTTCAATTGTCCCTGTAGGAAATTTCTGACGTGTACCTTTTGTCTACCCAGATCCCATTTTGATGACACATTAAAGAAGGAAAGTAAACTAAAGTATTAAAAGATGAAAAATCAATGCAAATGAAAGTCCAATATCCTTACTCCCCCAGCTAATGTGATTTACCAATCTTTCTTAATGAATTCTGGAACTATTTTATCGTTTGATGACATTAACTACAGGGTGGAATTAACTATGATCTAGATTTAACACAAAGTATAACATTAGTTTAGATTATTCATTTACAGATGCCTAAGCTTAAAAGATTGTCACACCAAGATAAGTTTTTATCTTTAGTCTGGAACGCCTGTATCAAAAGTCTGGTTGAGGAAAATAATAGGAGAGCATTAGAAAGATATGTCGTTTCTCAACCCTGAAAAGGTCATATCTGGCTCCAGACCCCATATGGTTAATCACCACACTGTACATTTCAAACTAAATAATTTACTAACAACTATGCTTTTCCCCCACAATCCTTTGCCATTTCCTGCATACATTAATGGTTAGTGAATTTGGTGTGGGACCCAAGTTGCAGTTAAAAGGTCCAGGATAGCACCTATGATGCCAAGGAACTGGAGAAGGAAAACCACTAGCTTTTAGTGTGAGAGACAACAGAAAGTCAAACAGGATAATCAGAAAGAAGATATGTGGATTTGGCCAGGATCTGGGCAGAGATAACTCAACAAATGACAGGGTTTCAGTGAGATAGCAAGGTATGGAGAATGGGATGGGTATTAGGAAAGCGCGGGACAAATGTAAAATGTGTAGCATGAAGTTGGAGAAGAAAAATGAGCCAGTAATTAGGGTAACAAGAAAGGAAGAGAAAATGGAGGGGGTGAGCTGAAGGAAGAGAAATTAAAATGTGTTTAGCATCCCCCATGGGACAGGCATTTCAATGTTCCACTCCAATTAATTTTCATATTCACTATTTCAAGCACAAAATATCTTAGGATATTTTTTTTGTTTTTATAAAGGCACCAAACAACATTTTGGAAAACAGTCAGCTGATACAATGTAAAGAGCCAAAACTTGACCTCACATCCTCTCATTCCAAATGCTACCATTTGTTTAAGAATAAGGAGGGAGGGAGTTACTACAAAGATCTGTTTTAGCCAACCTTGAATAGATATCATTTGGTTGCTAAATTAGAAATATGAATTGCAACAACTGTACTTGTTGAAGGAGATGGGAAAACGTTTCTCCAAAATACCTTGTTTGTTGTATTCTTTTTAAGAAGAAAGTACTTGTACTTTTGTTATGAATCGGAATGTATTTTTGTTAAGTCTGATAATGATCTTTTTTGTTTCTCTTCATCTTTTAAAGGAAAGCCTATAGTTAGAGTTAGATGGGGTCTATCAAACATTGGCATAGATCCCGGTCAGAATCTTTTGGGTCCAAAGGAACAGAAAAGGGATGAATTTAGGCTGTACATTTAGTTAGCCAGCGAAGAGATCAAACAGATTGGAGGAAGTGAAGGGGTGCACACTTTCTCTTTGAAGGTAGGGTTTTCTTTGTTCTGACTGGCAACAGGAAACAAACTAGGATAGGACACTTTTTGCATGCATGATAAACCAGGACGTGTTAAATATGGAGTATGTACCATACCAAAAAAAAAAACAAAAAAAAAAACAAAAAACGGTTATAGACTCTGGTTTCATGGCTTTTGGCCCTTGGAAGAGCTGCTGATTCACAGCGTTCTGTTTTGGCATTGTGCTTTCTGCTTTCTGTTAATTCTGAGAAATGTTAGAAGAGCTACCAAAAACTTATCCTTGTATTTATCACGAGGCTGTCGCCGATAAGATTAATAAAATCATCGTGATATCACTGCCTCACAGGGAGTTACCATCCTCCCCATTTTGCAAGTGAGAAAAAAGCAATTCAGAGAAATTGGCCAAGGTCACACACCTGTAGCAACTGGTGGAGCCAGGATTTGAATCCATAGCTTGTTCACGCTAAAGTCAGCTGAATTCTTTCCACTGCACCACGCAGACTGTTTAATATACCCTCCGCACAGATCCCCAAAATGTATTTGCTGAACGTAATTAATGGTTGATTTATGTACAAAGATCATTCTCATAACGGAAACAAAGACACTGAAGTATGCTGAAATTAGTCCCTCACGGGTATGGGCCCCACGATAGTTAACACCAGGCGATTAACATGCCAGGTACTATTCTAGACAAACTTTATCTCATTCAATCCTTTCACAACCTCAAAGGTAAGTAGTATTAAACATCTCCACTCTATAGATGAGATTCTGAGGTACGAGGTTAAGTAAGTGGTCAAAGAGAATACAGCTAGTAAATGGTGGGATTAGAGGTTTGCATTCAGATGGTCTGGCTCTACTTCTAAAACACCATGTTATCCTACCCTTCGTTAGAACTGTAAAACTTAAAAAAGGACTTTATCAGTTTATATTGCCCCCAATTTCTTGTTCTACGGAAGAAAAAACTGAGAACAAGAAAAATGAAATAGCACGCCTTACCTTCAGTCTCTCGGCTATTTTTGGCAGAGCTGACTAGAAACCAACCATCCTAAAATCATGTGGATCTATCTTGCAGTCTTCTTTAACGTTTATTTATTATTGAGAGACAGAGACACACAGAGCATGAGCAAGGGAGGGACGGAGAGAGAGAGGGAGACACCGAATCCGAAGCGGGCTCCGGGCTCTGAGCCGTCCGCAGAGCCCGACGCGGGGCTCGAACCCACCGACCGTGAGATCGTGACCTGAGCCGAAGTGGGTCGCTTAACCGACCGAGCCACCCAGGCGCCCCTCTTGTACTCTTCTTTAATCTAGCATTTTGGAAAGGAGAGGAAGGACGGTCTTTGCTTTGCCACCACCAGTCAGCACTGCATCCAGCACAGAGGCTGATGAATAAATGACCACACATGACAAGTCACATGATGGCGGAGCCAGAACCGTAACCAGAGTAACCGTACTGAGTCACGCTGCCTTCCTTCTTTAACACTAAAACAAACGCCATAAAATGCAAATCATTCACACCTGAGCTTTTCTTGGCATGCGGATTATATCCATACTTCTGGAAAAACTCCGTTATTTTCATGATATCCATTGAATTTTTTTTCATTAGTACTTTTGTTGCCTTTATGAAACCAATGCTTTCTTGACTTTCCGAACTTGCTTTATCAAGAAGAAGAATGACATCATCCTTTTATGAGGAAAAAAAGTACATTAGAGTTTTTCTATCAAAAGACTTAGTCTTAAGACTAAAAGACTAAGTCTATTTAAAAATTACCACACAAAGATGATAAATTGATATTGCAGGACCCATACCTTTAGAGTCTGGACTTCAGAAAGAAGGTCACATAAAATTCTCACTGGATAATCTTCAATGTCTTCAATATGAATAGACAAAGGAAAAAATGCAATATGGAAAAAGTACAATAAGGAAAAGGAGGAAAAAGAATAGAAAATATAATTTAGTATTGTTTCTTAGAATTATAAAATCCTTGTAGATATTTATCATTTGTTTCGTATCAATTACAAAGTATTACAGCCTTGGTTTTAAAAGTTATTAAATTATCACATCCATACAAAAAAGTACAAAAATCATAAGTATATAGCTTGATGAACTTTCCAAGTGAACATACCTAAATAATTAGCCTCAGATCAAGAAGGAGAGGAGGGAGGGAGGGAGGGGAGAAGGAGGAAATGTAATTCCACCTAGCAATTTTTTTTATAATGAGCACTTTTTGGTTCCTGTTTTTAAAATCTTTGCCAATGACAACACTTACGTTTTCTTCTAAAAGCTTTATTGTTCTGCCTTTTGCATTCAGAGCTACAATCCTCCTGGAATTGATTTTTTTTTTTTTTTATATGGCATGAGGTAAGGATCAAGATCCATTCTTAGCTTCCATTTCCACTCTTATTTCCAGGTCCAACTGACCTGGCACCATTTATCGAAAGGACATCCTTTATCCACTGTACTGTCACCTTTCTTACTAATCGGTAGCGATATATAGACTATACATCATGTAAAAGCAGTTTTTTAAAGAATTATATTTCTCTTTCTAAAACATGCCTTCTTTGAAGATCTCCTTTCACCTGTTAAAGCTGACCAATTTTTATTTGGGAAACGCAAGTCAACGTGACAGTGATACTTCATACCTACTAGAAGGACTATATTCAAAAGACAGGTAATAATAAATGATGAGGATGTGGAGAAACCGCAACCTTCATCCGTTGCTGGCAGAAATGTACAATGGTGCATCCACTTTAGAAAACAATGTGGCAGCTCTTCAAAAAGTTAAACATAGGTTTACCATATGGCCCAGCAATTCTAAGTGTATACCAAAGAGACCTGAAAGCATAATGTTCACCGGAAATGTTTACATATATTCATAATATCTAAAAAGTGGAAACAACCCAAATGTTCATCAACTGATGAATAAACACAATGTGGCGTATCCATACATTGGAATATTATTCAGAAATATAACGGAATGAATCACTGATACATGTGACATGGATGAACCTTGCAACATGAGGCTAAAATAAGTCAGTCACAAAAGCCTACTTTTGTAGGATTCCTTTTATATGAAATACCCAGAATATACAAATATATACAGGCAGAAAGCAGATTAGCAGTTGCATAAGGCTAGGGTAGTTGGGGATGGGATCATGGGGAGTGGATATTAACAGTCACAGGGTTTCTTTTGAGGATGATGAAAATCTAAACTTACTGTAATGGTTGCACAACTCTGTGAATACACTAAAAACCATTGGACTGTATCCTTTAAGTGCTGAATTTTATATTATGTGAATTATATCTCAATAAAGAAGTTTAAAAAGTCAATCAATTTAATGATTCATAAAAGCTGAAATTTTTTGGTGATCATTTTCTCTATCACATTTCCGTATATATTTTTTTTAATTTTTAAATGTTTTTATTAATTTTTGAGAGAGACAAAGAGCACGAGCAGGGGAGGGGCAGAGAGAGAGAGGGAGACCCAGAATCTGAAGCACTCCAGGCTCTGAGCTGTCAACACAGAGCCGGACCAGGGGCTCGAACCCACAAACTGTGACATCATGACCTGAGCTGAAGTTGGACGCTTAAATGACTGAGCCACCCAGGTGCCCCAATACCATATTTTCTGTAATACATATTGGCCACAAACAGAAAAATCATCCCAACTTTTTCTTATAAAACCAGAAGAAAGTGCAAAATTTGCGTACACAGTTAATATGCTGGTAAGAAGGTAAATTAGCACAAGAACCCAAAGTGGCACCTAGCTGGCTCAGTCTGTACAGCAGGAGACTCTTGATCTGTGGGTCATGAATTCAAGCCCCACATTAGCTGTAGAGCTTACATTAAATAATGTAACAAAAATAATGTAACAAAAAATAATAAAATATTAATAGTGGTGTCTTTGGATGGCTGAGTTACAGAAAATATTTATTTTCCTCTTTCTACTTTTCATTTCTCAAATTTTTTGTCATGTACGTATATTGTTCTTACAGTCAAAATAAACATTTTTAAATGGCTGGAACACTATTCATAACATAACAAAAGTAAAAGGAGTCTGTGTCTACAGAGCACGATGTTTTAAGGCAAATTACATTTATGACATTTATAAAATAATCTCAAAACCTGAGCTACTCTTGCAATATTTTGAAAAATTTTTTGTTTTATTTTTTATTTTTTTGAGAGAGAGAGAGAGAGAGAGAGAGAGAGCGAGAGCGAGCATGAGCAGGGAAGAGCAGAGAGAGAGAGACACACACACAGAATCCGAAACAGGGTCCAGGCTCTGAGCTGTCGGCACAGAGCCCGACGCAGGGCCGGAACCCACGAACCGTGCGACCTGAACTGAAGTCGGACGCTCAACCCACGGGGCCACCCAGGGGCCCCGCAACAATTTTTTTAAATGTCTAATACAAAGGTTAGTGGTGAAGAATTCTGCTATATTAATTTTATTTTTAAGCAGTATTGATAGGTGCCTGGCTGGCTCAATCACAAGGTCATGTGACTCTCAATCCCCAGGTCTTGAGTTTGAGCCCTGTGCTGGGTGTCGGGGTTTCCAAAAAAAGGAAAAAAAAAAAAAAAAAAAGGTACTCACTAGTGTTGACGGGTTGCTGGGGAAAATACAGGCATTTACTGCAACTGTGGGCCATTTGGGTGAGACAAAGTCTACAAGCAAAGAACCGTGCTAAATAACTGCATTTTGTTTAATTACACAGTATTTTTATTAATATCCATTATGTGACTTCAAGTATATCATGTATAAATTAGTGTGCGCATTATGAGCTCAGTCTGCCAACTTAATTTACACTTTTATTCTATGCTGCTTCTCCTCCTAACACAGTGACAGTGCTATTTCAATATTTGCGGAGAGCAAATGTGGTTGGACACAGAACTGAAAACAGCCACAACAACATACTTGAGGGGGCAGAAGAATAAATAATAAAAAGGTGACACCTGCAGCCCCTCGGGGCCCTGCTGACGACAAACGTCGAGCGTTTTGATGGGTGTGCCACCGCCCTTCCAGATCTCTTTCGAGGCACCCCTCGCCACTGTAGCTAAGATAACACACTCTCGGCCGAGTGTGTGCGTTCGTACTTGTGAAGGCCCTTCCGACCCGCCGCACTCGGGGCGGGCTGCGGGCGCCCGGGCGGGTCGCAGGAGCCGCGAAGGCCCCGACGCCCGACGCCTCACTCACCGCTCTCCTCTCCGTCCAGCGCTCGCTGCAGCCGGGCCGTCTCGCTGTCGAGGGTGATGGCCAGAGACCGTAGCTTCGCGTGGAAGCTTCGGATCAGATCCATGGATAAGGACTGCTCGGCAGGACGCAGGACGCGAGCAGATTCCCACCGCTCCGGTCCGGCCCGCCACTAATTTGAATCTCTCGGCGCCGGAAGTGTCCCGCCTCCGCGGGGGTCGCACGAGCCCTCTCTCGCGAGAGCTGAAGTCTCGCGCGAAGCGGCAAGGAGGTTCCGGGAGGCGGACGCGCTTCCGGGGTCGCGTCCGCTGGCGCGCGGGGGAGTTTGCGAACGACGCGGCCGGTGAGTTGATGACCGTATTTCGTTGCTTCAGGAGTCCCTTTCTTTCCCTGGGGAGTCTAGTTGGGCTCCCTGCTTCTTTGGGGGCACGCTGTGCGTCCTCGGGGGTGGCCAGAGCGGCAGGAGAGCCGGGGTCGCGCGCGTGCGCTGCTGTCACCTGCGGCCGAGGGCGTAGCCAGTTCCTGGTGCGACTTTCCCCGTATCCCCGCAGGTACCATGTTCGTGACCGCCCTCCTCCTCCGCAATCGCATTCCTGGCAGCCAGTGGATCGGGAAGCACCGGCGGCCGCGCGCCGTGTCTTTCCACGCGAAGCAGAACATGATCCGTCGCCTGGAGATAGAGGCGGAGAACCATTACTGGCTGAGCATGCCCTACCTCACCGCGGAGCAGGAGTACGGCCACGCCGCGGGGCGCCGGGCGGCGGCCTTCGAGGCCATCAAGGCGGCCAGCGTGTCCAAGTTCCCCCCCCACAGATTTGTGGTAGACCAGCTCGACCATCTCAATGTCACCAAGAAGTGGTCCTAACCCAGCGCCACCGCCTTTCAGCTGGACGGATCGCGGGGCTGCCATCTCTGTGACCCGATTCTGGAACTGAAAAGCTAACCTCTAGAGAGAAAATGAACCTTTGGACCGGAGTCTTAATGGACAGCAAAGAGGAACGTAGTGGTCTGCATGTAGAATATCTGGGGCTCCAAATTCTTTAATACTTGAGAGTCTGATCTCTGTCGCATTGTTTCCTTTTTCTTTATCCTCATAGGAAGATACAGGAGATTTCCTGGGTCACAGAGGATATGAAATGTATTTTGGATGGAAGCTTCAAAAAAAAAAAAAAAAAACAAAACTGAGCTATGGTTTGGAATCTGTGCCTCAGTATGAAGATAGTTGATGGGGGCTTTATAAAATATAAATTGGTTTGCTTACCTTCTGTGGAAACATCGCCTAAACATAAATGAAAAAGTGAAATAAATGAAAATGAAACTCTGAAAAAGTTCAGTTGAACATACTCCTAAAAACAGCGTTTTCTTCTGGGATGTTGCTGAAAGTAGACATGTAAATTTTTTTTTTTTAATGTTTATTTATTTTTGAGAGACTGAGTGTGAGCAGGGAAGGGGCAGAGAGAAGGGGAGACAGAATCCGAAGCAGGTGCCAGGTTCTGAGCTGTCGGCATAGAGCCCGACAGGGGGCTTGAACTCACGAGATCATGACCTGAGTCAAAGTCAGTCGCTTAACCGGTGGAGCCACTCAGGCGCCCCTGAAAGTAGACGTTTAGAGGGGCGCCTGGGTGGCGCAGTCGGTTAAGCGTCCGACTTCAGCCAGGTCACGATCTCGCGCTCCGTGAGTTCGAGCCCCGCGTCAGGCTCTGGGCTGATGGCTCAGAGCCTGGAGCCTGTTTCCGATTCTGTGTCTTCCTCTCTCTCTGCCCCTCCCCCGTTCATGCTCTGTCTCTCTCTGTCCCAAAAATAAATAAACGTTGAAAAAAAAAATTAAAAAAAAAAAAAAAGTAGACGTTTAGATAAAGTAAAAGGTATTCATCAGAACTGCTAGGTGTGTTGTATTTTAACAACCTATTTCTGGGATATAATTGACATTACAGGCCACCAGTTGAAGATGTTTGTCTTTTCGAATTCCCTTTTTCAGTATATAATACTGTATTCTACTGTATAATACCCTTTACATGTATTACCAAATCATATGATATACGATATTACGAATCGTATGCTATAAAGGGCTTGACTGTTGTATACCCTGTATATTTTACATGTGAAGAAAACTCGTCCAAAATCCGTTCCCAGTAATGAATGTGACTTGGGTTTCAGTTTCTGTATAATCTAGATATCTCAACTGCTGTCTTTATATTTGACAACATTTTCAAAATACGGAAGAAAAAGAATTCAGTCCCATTACTCAGAGATGAAATAATCATCTTTTATATATATTTTTCTTGTAGTCTTTATATGCTTTTTGAACATATACTGAATCTATAGGGGTAAATAGAATCTTGAGTTAAAAACAAACATTTAAAGGTTATGATGCATATTGCCAATGGCTTTCCAGAAAAATTGTAAAACAGCAAGACCAATGTATGAGTGTGAATCTCATTTGCCAGCGTTGATGGTTTTGTTCATTAATGAATGATTCATGGTTCACCTTTAATTATCTGCCGTTGGGATGTGTAGGCTGTGGTGCAGACATTATTATTACTTTTTTGATTCATTGCACCTAAAAAATGCCTGCCACGTGATAGTTGAATATTTAACCAAGCTGAACTCTGTTATTGATAGGTCATATTCTGTGGTGTATACTTATTGAATGCTTTTTATAGCTCACAAAAATGTCTCTGGTTCCTATGAGTAAGTTAGTATCTGTGACCATTTCTTTTCATTCCTGGAAATGGTGACAGCCGATGCTGTTTAGGAGAAAGGTGAAGGAAGGGGGCTCAGGGGAACCTTAGAACTGTTAACTATTTCACATAAAATCGTTAACTAAGCGCCTGGGCAGTTAAGCGTCTGGCTCTTGATTTCAGCTCAGGTCGTGATCTAACGGTTCCCTTGATTGAGCCCCACATCAGACTTCGTGCTGAACAGCACAGAGCCTGCTTGGGATTCTCTCTCCCCCTCTCTTTCTGCCCCTCTCCCTCTCGCAGACACTCTGTCTCTCAAAAAAAAAAAAAAACCTACTTCTGTTGCTTCGATCTCTTGTGTAACTCAGAAACTTTGGAGTTTGAAAAAGGAATGGTTAAGGTGAATCTCAGAGAAGGAAAAAGATGCTAGAATCTTGGGTCTGAAGAAATAGAAGGCAGTTCATGAGAGGAGAGATTTTTATGTGTAATCATTGCAGTTGTAAAACAGTCTCGTGAAGTAGTCGTCTCCACTGTACAGGTTAGAAACTGAAGCTCAAATGTCAGCAACACTGTCACGTTCACACGGCTAACACGGTAAAACTAGAATTCAGGACGAGGTTTATCTAAAGATCATATGCATTTTAATACAGTACACTAACTGCTGTAAATACAAGGTCACAGCTGTGTTTTAATCACTTCTTGGCCAAAGCAATGCTGTTGAAACATCTGATTTTTTTCCCCGCGAGTCTACAACTGTTAACACCATAGCCATCCTAGGGTTCATCTTTTCTTAACAACAGAGCTCATTGCCCTCAGCTGGTTATAGTTCCATGCCTAATTGAGTAGATCTGTGCCAGCCTGTGCCTTCTGAACAGTAGCTGGCTTAGAGCTCCTAGGGCTCTGTGTCATCCGGTTGTTCACCTTGTGAATATTAACCTCAAGGAGCTCACTGTCTCACCGGATGAAACGCACCGCATAAGTAATACGGCGTGATGACTGACTTCATGGACACAAGGTGTAATAAGAGTCCAGTGAAAGGGCCATTTATCAACCTTCCCTGAACAGTCAGGAAAAACTTGAGACGATCTTCAAACGGATTCTTAATTTGCCTGGCAAGCGTGTGGCAGGAAGTAGAGGCAAAAGTAACAGTCTAATGATTAGTCATAGACTTGCCAGTGGTTGCAATGTAGGCTACTTGTGAGTGGGGGAGGAGAAGTCACCGACAGGCTAAGGATGTAAGCAGGACCAGAATATGAAAGTTCCTGTATGACACTTTAAGAAGTTTGGCTTTTATCCTGTAAGTAGTGGGGAGCCATCAAAAATGCTTAATTCATTAAATAATGGGGAGCATTGTGGACAATGGGTTAGTGGAAGAAATGACTAGGAATAGAAAAACCTGGTAGCTATTAAAATAATCCAGCTAAGCACTGAATTTGGATGGCGGAGGTGGAAAGTGGTTAAAAGAATTAACAAGTCTGCGAACATTTGTATTACTCCTAATACCTTGGATCCCTATATGGAGGGTACTTTATAATTTAATTAGGGTAATTAAAATTTGTTTTAATGTTGGGGCACCTGGGTGGCTCAGTCAGTTAAGTGTCCGACTTTGGCTCAGGTCATGATCTCACCGTCTGTGGGTTTGAGCCCCGCGTTGGGCTCTTTGCTGACAGCCCAGAGCCTAGAGCCTGCTTCGGGTTCTGTGTCTCCCTCTCTCTCTGCCCCTCCACTGCTTGCACTCTATCTCTCTCGAAAATAAACATTTTCTTAAAAATAATAATTAGAAAAAGTCTGAAAAAATTGTACAATACCAGTACAGTGAAAACTATAAAGTGTTTGAGGAAAGTCAAAGAAATCCTAAAGAAATGGAGATATTCTGTGCACATTAGTCAGAGGTCATAAGGTAACTATGGCAATTTTACCAAAAGTAATCTATAGTTTCAATGTAATCCCATTTTATGTCCCAATAGGTTTTTTTCTTATTTTGTAGAAATTGACTAGCTAATTCTAAAATTCATGAAAATTCAGAGGACCTAGAATAGCAAAAACAATTTTGAAATACAGAAAGTTGGAGGATTTAATACTACCTGATTTCAAGACTTAATGTAGAGCTTCAGTAATTAAGAGAGTGTGGTGTTGACATAAAGACAGACAAATAAAATGGAAAGTTCATAAATAGGCCACACGTATGTAATTTATTAATTTTTAACAGATACACACAGGAAATGCAGTGAAGAAAGGATAATCTTTTCTCAAACCTGGTGCTGGAACAAATGAGTATTCATATGCAAAAGATGACCTCAGTCTGTGTCTAATGCTATATACAAAAATTACTTCAGGGGCACCTGGCTGGCTCCGTCGGTTAAGCATCTGACTTCGGCTCAGGTCGTGATCTCACCATTTGTGAGTTCGAGCCCCGCGTCGGGCTCTGTGCTGACAGCTCAGAGCCTGGAGCCTGCTTCATATTCTGGGTCTCTCTCTCTCTCTCTCAATCTCTCTCTCTCTCTCTCTCTGCCCCTCCCCTGCTCATGCTGTCTCTGTCTCCCAAAAACAAACACTAAAAAAAATTTTTTTTTAATTAAAAAAAAAATTACCTCAAAACGGATCATGGATTAAATCTAAAACCTAAAACTTGTATAAAACCTCCCATAGGAAACATAGGGAGAAACTCTTTGTGACCTTGGGTTAGGCAAAGATTTCTTAAAAATGTATGAAGTCATGCTTTATAAAACCCCAATCTGATGAATCAGAATTCATCAAAATGAAGAAATTCTGTTCTTTGAAAGACATTCTGCTAAAAGAATGAAAAAAAAAAAAAAAGCCAAAGACTGGAAGAAGAATACCTGATAAAGGACTCATATCCAGAATATATAAATCATTCTTAAAATTCAGTAACAGGAAAATAATTTTTTTGAATGGACAAAATATTTGGACAGATGCTTCATCAAAGAAAACAAATGGACTGCAAAAAAACCCATGAGTAAATGCTCAGTATTATTAGTCATTTGGGAAATGCAAATTAAAACCACCATGAGATACCACTATATATCCATTAGAATGTATAAAATTTAAAAGACTGACAATACCAAGTGTCATCAAGGATACAGAGTACCTAGAACACATATACTGATAAGAATATAAAATGGTGCAACCACTTTGGAAACAGCTTGGAAATTCCTTTAAAAGTTAAACATAACAATTATCATATGACTCAGCCACTCTACTGCTGGGTACTTACTTAAGATTGATGAAAGCATGTGTCCATAGAAAGACCTAAATGTTCATATCAACCTTTAATAAAAAAGTAGAAACAAGTCCCTTTCATCTGATGAATGGATAAACATTTGTTGTACATCCTTGTACAAATGTACACAAATGAATGATCTGATAAACACAATCAGACCTGAGTGAATCTCAAAATAATTATGCTGATTGAGAAAAGCCCCATGACCCCATAAAATACATTCCATTTGTATGAAATTCTAGGAAATGCAAGCTAAGCCATAGTGATGGACCAGTGGCTGCCTGGGTTTAGAGATGGGTAGGCAGGGAGGGGCAGGAGGAAGAGATTGCAAACTGGCATCAGGAACTTTTGGGGTGGTGGATTATTTTGTTATCTTGATTGTGGTGATGATTTTCATAGCTGTATAGAT